AAAAAAATTTTGGGGTTAGGTGCACTTTAAAGAAATTTTTGATGGCCATCAAGATAGTAATCTTCTTTTTGCAAAAGAGCACGATCACCAGCAACATCACATCATCATCTTAGTTGTAATCTTGCAAGAAATATCTGTTTCCCCAGTTTCCCTTTCCCCAGTTTGCTGGATATTTTGGCAGCGAAAGAGCCGCTAATTTCAATGTTCAAATAAACCATGTAAAAAATAAACGACCGCGTGACTGAAAAAGGTTTAAACCATCTACTCTCTTTAATGGAGTGTGATTGAGTTCTACGAATGGGAGAATGTGAAGATTTTGCTCCATTCTATAGAACTTCTCGTTTTTGAAGCAGTTATGACAATGCACTAAAACGCCTGACCATAGAAATTTTAAAAAATAATCACGTAATACATTTCACATGGATCAATTTTATTCGTTAATTTTTCCTTATCTAGTCTTATTTATATCGATCTATCATTTTAACAGTTTCGGATTTCTCATTCTCTCTTTTCTTTACTTCGGGAACGAAATTTAATTATTCCAAGTAAAGATAGATTTTGACCAGTTTGTGACCACATAGTGCTCGCATACTTCATTTTAAAACATTATTGTTTTTGTGGTAGTAATGTTAAAATATGCTTCCCTTGTATTCTATCAAGCCCTCCTTGAGGACACATTACGGCGTTTTTGGAAAGGACAGTTTCCTTCCCTTCTGTGCTATCAGATGACCACTCTTAGCATAAATATATATTTTCAGGCGGCAGCATCATTTCTCAATTCTAGCAATAAAGTTCCCTTCTGCAATCTTTTACAACTGAAATAATGACTATATAACGCGAGCAATGATTGGTTAATTAAGCTCAAGGGGATCATAATCTCTTGTTACGCTATAACACGGTTGTATCGCATGACATTTGGCAACATTTTTTTATGAAGGAATTTAAAACTACCTGTGTATTTACCGATGCAAACGTGAGAGTAGCATTTACATCAGCCTGCTAAATCTACCAAGCGATATTTTCAGGTTTTATTTTTCATCCCAGTTTTCATTTTTGCTTTATTGTTTGTGCGGCCGCAACTTGAGATTGGGATGTAAGTCACGTAGTACGTTGTGTAAGCATCATAGATAATCATGATGCATTCAGCTGCATTCACGTTCTGTTTTCTTTGCAGACATCCCTGCTAATAAGTCAACAAGAAGTGGGTTCTGAAGACACGAAGGCGTTGTCTTTCACCATCGATAATCTTGACCTTGCCAACGATAAGTTAGCACTGAGCAACGTTGTGAAATGCTGTCAACCAGGAGCCTGCGCAGTAGCAGCGGCCATCAGCACCTGAGCATGCTCTTGAGGCATTTCTGCCAGAATGTTCTGGAATCTTTGAGGAGATTGTTGATGAATCTTCTGTATCATACTAACGACTCCTGAGCGAATACCTGAAAATAATTAACAACTGATTTTGAAGTTACAGTCAATACGGCTGCAGCGATACATAGACAGCTTTCTTCGAGAAATTCTTTCTTTTCTTAGCTGTTTTATTTACTTAAGTTAGACTTCCAAAAACACTTTTCCTGAGTGTTTGCGATTTCCCATCCCACCAGCAATTAGAAAGGATCAAAACAAGTTATGCGCGTTCTTCCCGTAAAACAACCCAAATATGGACAAAACCTTGGTCAATTAACCAATCAGAACGCTGCAAAGCGAGTCGCCCAGAGGATGCGAGCGTTCGCCTCCGTTGGCTAAACCAATCATATTATTTCTAGTTCGTTTTTTGTTGTTCGTGCTCACGCTCATTCAAGGTCATACGAAAATTGCTCCATCTGCGGGTAACCCCAGTTTTTGCAGTCTCACTCACCATCTTGTAAACTGCCAGAGGGTAGCACTTGTGAAAACACTGCTAGAAGCTGTGGTAGATACTGCCTGATGAGGGGATGCTGATCGCTAAATAGCTCCATGATGCATGAATAGACAGGATGGTTTTCTTCAAAGTCTTCTTTTAAAGGGAGACACTGCAACAATCCTGGAAAAACCTGCAATGCGAAGTTCGCAAGTTGGGAAATTTTCTTCTGCAGATTTGAGAATTTGGTCTCTCCTCACGGAGAAAAGTTTATTACGATTGTGCTAGCAAGCTCTCTTCTAAACCTGGGATAACTCCTTGGTTGTAGAAAGAAAGTGGGATCTGTTAGAGCAGATAAAATCTTTGGAGACCAACAAAACAGACAGAACCTGCACCTCTAACAGTAGCGGTATAGTGGCATCCGGTGTCCCACCAGAGGGGGCGTAACCGAAGAACAATTTACAAAATATCTGAATTTATTCCAGTCTCTAAACAAATGATCTAACATTTCATTTACTAATCCTAAACTGCTATTGGCTGCCAGTGAGCTCATTGTTGTTGTAGGCTATCTCATCACGGGCAAGTTAGTTACTCTACTCGTAAATATTACGGCCTGTTCACCAAATTTCTAAACAGAGTTTTGGAAATAAGAAGTCGCGTTTTGGCCAATGCTCCTTCGATTAAACCTTAGTGAAGCAACAATTCCTTACTTTAGAAACGCGAAGAAGTCTAGGGCGAGTTTCATTTCGCAGTCGCTTGCAGAACCGTTACTCGGGACACAAGTAACGGTCCAAGAAAACGACCGTGAATTGAGACTCGCGTTCTCAAACTAGCTGGATACCATTATAAAACATTAAATGACAAGCAAGCAACATACAATGGCTTGGCCATACACTTCGCAAACCACCGTCAAGCCCTGAACTGGAACCCCCAAGGTCAAAGAAAGAGAGGGAGACCACGGAACACCTGGCGGCGGGAGCTTGAAAAGGAAATTAAAAGGACTGGACACGCATGGAAACATCTTGAAAGGATAGCTCAGGACAGAGGAGACTGGAGAGTTGTTATTGGTGGCCTATGCCCCGGGAGGAGTAAAGGGCCAAAGTAAACAAAGTAAGCAACATACAAAATCAGGCTCAAACCTTCTCCAAGGGAAGAGAATTCCTATTGGCCATTACCATCCTACTGACAGCGCCACAGATGTTGTCGACAACACGGGGAGGTTGGTTCTGGGACAGGATCACAAACAGAGCTTCTAGAATAGTCTGGTAATGACTGAAGCTCATTAAGGAAATACTGAAGACATGCACGAACCTTTTGGGAACAATTTCTAAGCGTAGTAGGATTTCCACGCTTTTGGGTCAACACAACTTACGATGGCGGTCAGTATACAGTAAATAAGAACAAAGAAATATTATTTCATTTAACGTAATTTTCCATAGGTAAAAAGATGGCGACTAGCATATTTACCACGGAACAACGCAACAACGCTCGTAGACACGTACATCTTCAAACCACCGGCATACACAATAACGTTAGTAAAGGGACAAATAATGCAAAAAATAGGGCTTTCTTTGTCTCTCATGGGGTGTGTTACGTTCGCAAGCTACTGTTGTAAAATGAGCTGCCCGTTTTTTCCTTTGGAGGATTGTGAATGCATTCATATCGGAATGGAGCTTTCACGTTGCGGTGAAGCAAGTGTGATGTACGATGTTTACTAGTTGCGTTTGACTACAGCTGCAACACTCCCGCGCTGCCACTTCCACACTACCATAAAAAGAACATCAATTTTTTTTCAACTCGTGCTTCGCGCTCGTGTCCGCTCTTCGCGCTCGTGTTCACGCTCCACGCTCATGTTCGCGCTCCGCACTCGTTTATTGGGTTTCGTGTTGCCTCGCTAATCCGCCTTATAATCTCCACTTTACAATTCCTGATCTTTCGCTTCAGGGTTTCACAGCGACGTATCCTAACCCTTAAAATGCGTTTCTCGGCAGCACATGCCTACATTTCGCTTCAAAATTTTCTGAACTTACGAACTTTCTTCGCCAACTTCGTGAACTAACTAACAGACTGAACTAACAGCAAACAATGATGTTAAAAAAAAAAACAAAAAAAAACTGTCACGTGCGCGCGAAACTCGATACATTAATCGAATTATATTCGAGTGATGTTCACTTGAACTTGTTCAGCTGTTGGAATTAACGTGCTAACAAGCGCTCTTAACATTTTCGGTCGGCACGCACACAAAGGACACGTCAAGCCTATTCTGCAGGCTATTTTCGTAGAAACAATCGATCTGTGGACCTCGATCACAACGGACTAAGACCATTGTAACTCACACACGAGTCACTTCATATATACTACCAGAACCAATTAAAATATTACCGAATGCGATATAGATTCAGTGTATGTAAGGATACGGCGTAATAAGATCTCCACCATAGAAAGCAAGAAGACCAAGGCCATAGATTGCGTTGCTTCTCACTTCATCATCCTCATCTTTGAGTGACGTCATAAAAACTGGGAACAGATGCTGGACAAAGGGAACTATTGCGTGGGCCATGGCGAGCAGTACCTACAAACAAGAACAAACATGATGTGTGGGTATATGACATACTACAGGAATCAATGTGGACAATTATCAGCAACAAAGTGAGTTACGTCTTAGAGTAATTTCTCAAACTCATAAATAATTCATCAAGTTTAACTCAAGGAAATCATAACCGTGACGGTGTTTGGATATCTGATCTTAAATCAGCATAGACGTTTCACGCCTTTATTTCTCTATTTTATCCTTGGCTTTAGTTTCTTCTGAGAAGATATATTAAACGCTCGAGACAGTATTTACCCCCCCGGGGGGGGGGTGCACTGCCATGTATGGGCTATATAGGTATGTGCCGCTGTGAAGGGTAT